GCATCAATTCCACTGCCAATCTTCGCAGCATTTTACTGGATCTCGTTTGGCATTGTTGGTGAGTCAAACTTCCTTTCTTGTGTAGAGGCAAAACTTAGTGCAGATTCGTCATTCATAGACTAATTATCAGTGAATTTTTGTTGATGTCAGCTGTTGTGAGAGTCTCATTCGTGCAGTTTGCCAACAAGAACTCGATGAGGAACATACACCAGGTTGTCGTGTTGTCAAGTGGATTTTGCCATCAACACATTCCCTATCAACACAGAGATAGACAGAGTTATGAGACATGTTTCCTTGTTGATGGCATTGATTTAGAAGCGGTCAAGGATGTGAGTAAGGTGGCAATTCTCAGTATGTATGTGAGTTCGTTTTGCTTCCTTTCAACTCAAGAAAAAGCACGCACGCAATTATCAAGATGTGTGTGTGTGTGTGTCACACACGCATTCACACACACATACACACACAGCGTGCTTGTGTTAATCATTTCACCGTGCATGTCTTTATAATAAAGTGGATTGCTATTTTCTTGACTTTTGTTTCTGTTTGTTTCTAGAGCTATGACTTGAAAGTGGTGGGTATCCACTGTGATGGGTGTGTGAAAGAAATTAACAGGATCCTACACAAGATTGATGATAACGAAGAAAAGTTAAAAAAATGTAAATTTCTCTATTCTTTTGTTACATTTCCATATGTTCAACCACTCTAGTTTGTCTTACCGTACGTTCTCTTGCTAAAATTGTGAAGTCCTATTTTTGCAGGGAAATTTGGGGCCTTCTTTGCATCAATTCCACTGCCAATCCCCGCAGCAATTTACTGCATCTTGTTTGGCATTGTAGTTGTAGGTGAGTCAAACTTCCTTCTCGTGTTTTTACATAGTTGTATAGATGAAGTCTAGAGGTAAAACTTTGTGCAGATTCTTCATTCATAGACTAATTATCAGTGAATTTTTGTTGATGTCAGCTTCTGTGGGAGTCTCATTCATGCAGTTTGCCAACAACAACTCGATGAGGAACATACACCAGGTTGCCGTGTTGTCATGTGTATTTTGCCATCAACACATTCCCTATCATCTCTCTCTCTCTCACTACCGGAATCCTCGAATTTGCCGAGTGTTTTTATGTTTACCGAGTGTATTCCCTCGGGCACTCGGCGAACAGGTTCTTTGCCGAGTGTAAAAAAAAAACACTCGGCAAAGATGGGGTTTGCCGAGTGTCAAAAGAAAAACACTCGGCAAAGATAAAGTTTGCCGAGTGTAAAAAAACACTCGGCAAAGAAATAAAATATTTTTTCAGGAAAAGAAGGAGAAGAAAAAAAAAAAAAACTTTGCCGAGTGCTCAGATCTAGAACACTCGGCAAAGAAATAAAAAAATTTCTAGAAAAGAATGAGAAAAAAATGAAAAAAATACTTTGCCGAGTGCCCAGATCTAGGACACTCGGCAAACAAAAAAATATCTTCTTTAACCCACCCAGCGCCCCACCCTCCCTCCGCACCCGCCCCCAGCGCCCCCTCCGTTTTCTTCCCCGGCCCCAAGCGCCCACCTCCCCCGCCCCCTCCCCTCTTCTCTCCTCTCTTCCCGGCGGCGGCCGCCCCTCCCTCTCCTCTCTTCTCGGATCCGTGAGGCCGCCCCTCCTCTCCTCTCTTCCCGGATCCGCGGCCGGCCCCCCCTCCTCAACCTCTCTCTTCTGGCGCTTCTCCGGATCCGGCGCTGCCGCCCCTCCTCTCCTCTCTTCTTCCCGGATCCGACGAGGCCGCCCTCCTCTCCTCTCTTCCTCGGATCGGCGAGGCCGCCCCTCCTCTCCCTCTCTTCCCCGGATCCGGTGGCCTCCCCCTCCTCTCCCTCTCTTCACCGGCGCTTCCCCGGATCCGGCGCGGCCGCCCCCTCCTCTCCCTCTCTTCCCCGGATCCGACGAGGCTGCCCCCTCCTCTCCCTCTCTTCCCCGGATCCGGCGCGGCTGGTGGTGGCATGGTGGTGGTGGGCGGCGGTGGCGGCCGGTGGTGGCAGCTCGGGCGTGGCGGGTGGTGGCGTGGTGGTGGTGGGCGGTGGCTCATGGTGGCGGCTGTGAAGCCGGGGAGCGGAGGCGAGACGGAGGGCGTGAAGCTGGGCTGCGACGCAGGGGAAGGGTGCCGCCGAGGAGACCGACGGCGGCCGGCGGAGACCGGCCGGTGGTGGCTTTTTTATTTTTTTTTGGCCGGCGGAGACCGGCCGGTGATGGCTTTTTTATTTTTATTTTTCGAAAAAAATATTTGCCGAGTGTCCGACAAAAAACACTCGGCAAACTAGCATTTGCCGTTAAAGGGTTTGCCGAGTGTCGTTTGCCGAGTGTAACACTCGTGTTTTTGGGGCTTCGGGCACTCGGCAAAGCTCCTGTATCCGGTAGTGTCTCTCGCCAATACAGAGATAGACGAAGAGAGTTATGAGACATGTTTACTTGTTGATAGCGTTGATTTTGAGGCGGTCAAGGATGAGTAAGGTGGCAATTCTCAGGATGCAGAGTTCGTTTTGCTTCCTCTCAGCTCAAGGAAAAATCACACATGCAATTCTCTAAGATGTGTGTGTGTCACACACGCACGCACACACATACACACACGCAGATGTGCGTGCGTGTGTTAATCATTTCTCCGTGCATGTATAAAGTGGCTTGCTATTTTCTTAACTTTTGTTTCTGTTTGTTTCTAGAGCTATGACTTGAAAGTGGGTCTCCACTGTGATGGGTGTGTGAAGGAAATTAAGAGGATCCTACACAAGATTGATGATAACGAAGAAAAGTTTAAAAAATGTAAATTTCTTTATTCTTTTGTTACATTTCCATATGTTCAACCACTCTACTTTGTCTTACCGTACGTTCTTTTCTCCCGATATGTGTGTGTGTGTGGTGTGTGAATGTGTGTATTCCTTCTTATGTTCCATGCTTAGTTTTTTATCAAGCAGCAAGCAGCTTGACAATCATTTCACTGTGCGATTCTTCAGAAAGGGCTTTGCTATTTTCTTAACATTATCTCTTTCCTACACAAGATTATTGATGGTAACAAAGAAATCTTTTATAAATGTAAATTTCTTTATTCTTTAGTTGTATTTCCAATTGGTTAACCACGCTACTTTTGTGCTGTGTGTGAAATTCTTAAATGTATTGGATTGATCTATACAGGTGTGTACCAAACTAGTATAGACACAGAGCAAGGGAAGGTGACTGGCCTGATGGACATGGACACTGTCATCAAAAAGTTGAAGGATGGCAAGTCTTCCCAGCTATGGGATGCAAATCCTGCCATGCCAAGCGAGGACCAAAATCTCAAGCCTGGTGGCGGTGGCAAGGGCAACAAGCTTAAATGATGTTGGTGGCAAGGGCCTTCCCAGAACCTGTCACAACCCTACTGTTTTGTGCAAGTTCCCCAAAGGCACAACCACAAGGGCTCACTAAGACTGTCTTCAACAACCGCGACCTAAACATATAAGACACATTCGTCCTTTGGGTAGCGCTACAGGTAAACGATTCAATATCTATTTTTGTCTTTTCCAACGATAAGACCCAAAAGACAATCCATTTCTGCAAATGGGTCTCTCAGGAGAGAGGATACTCAGATTTGGGTTATGCCTCTCATGGCACCCAAAATAGGTCTTCTATATATGTATTCTGTTGGAAGCTATAGGTATTGTATTGGAGACCCATTTTGAGTTTGGGTTCCGCAATGGGTCTGCTCTTAGAGACAGCCTAAGGGAGACACCTTTGCATGTGTTGAAAACTCATGTTGGATTAACTATGCTACTCCAATCACCGTCAAGACAGTTAGACAGAAGCATGCTAAGTAATCTGACCATGAATTAGACTGAGCATTAACATAATCATGAATTATCAAAAGAATAAAAGGATGCATATGAATTTCATGATGAATTGAATAACGAGAACAACTTTATTGTAGTATGGTATTTTTTTAATAAGGAAGTATTTTATTGAACTCAAGATAATTACATCAAGTTCATATAAACACCTTGAGATCACTTCCAACCACTGCATAAACCATAAAAGCGCACAGCCTAGAAAAGTTTTTTTAAGTAAAGGTACAGACACACTACTGACTAGCTATAAATCCATACACCAGACCGTCATCCACGGGTAAAAAATTCCTTGACCACTCATTCCAATTGTTGCCACACCACCACAACCAAATCATGTGAATGAAGCTGCAGGAGAATAACCAATGTACGTAGCGAGTAGATAACGTGGAAAGGGGAAGTGATATTTTTTGTATCAAAGACCATATCATTTCTACATAGCCACAGGGACCAACAAGTTGGGCTCACTACTAGCAAGAATAGTATTCTCAGGTTTGTTCTAATTCCCCATAACCAGCTGGCAAACATATATGGCATGCTACGAGGTTAAGAAAGCCCTGATGTCACCTGTATGATAGACCAAATTGGTTTTGAAAATTCGCATTCAAAAAAGAAGTGTTTGATAGTCTTCCTTATGACATAAACAACATTTCTTACTACTACTCGCCAATTGTGCTTAGCTAAGTTCCCAAAAAAAAGTTGCACTTAGCTACAATCACCAACCACGTACCTGAACCAGTATAAATCCCTGTGTCTTGTATGCTATCCATCTGATTCCCTGTACACGAATACGCTGATCGGTATTGGTAGAGTAATTCATCCGACAACAGGAATATTTTTATTTTAAATTTTAATGGTGCTCTCAATTTCCATAATATCTGTTAATGCTTGGGATGAGGTCACAATGAATCGCATAGCGGGTGGGCTGTGTCCTGGTGGCCGAGTGGCTGAGAGGAGGAGAAGGGGGTGCTGGCCGGTTGAGTGGGTTAGGTTCCCAAGCTCCTCTTCTTTGCTTACCCTCATTTTATTTCTCTTACCTAAAACTTGCATACGTGTGTGTACACACACACACACACAGAACAAGAAGAATAAAACTAGCACAATGTAGCGTGGTTCAACATATGGAAATATGACAAGAGATTAAAGAAATTTACATTTATAAAAGTTTTATTTGCTACGATAAATGAATCCATTGCTCGAACTAGGACCTGTGGAAGCCATTGAATCGGCATTGATGTGCTGACCAAACTGGTACCGTGAAGTGGAAGCTATCTCCATAAGTGGTTGTGGCATTGACCCTTGAGTTATTTTCCTTGCTTCAACTAGTATCTTGTTCATCTTCTCTTTGACTACACTGTCCACTGCTTCCAGCCACTTTTGGAGCTCTTGCAGCTCAACTAGACCCAATTCCAAGACATTAGCATTTAACCACTGCATCATGAGTTCACCCATTTCCTTCTCAATAGCCTCTTTCAACCTTCTCTTTTTTCTTCTTTTCAGAGTCTAGAGACTGTTGTAACTCTGAGTACTCCATGTTCAGCGTATGGACAGTATTCGTTACTGCCCCTAGTACTCCATGTTCAGCCTATGGGCAGTATCCGTTACGCGCGTGCACAAATGGTAGCCTATTCTTTCTCGCCTTAGATATAGCTGAAAGCATCAAGGCCCCTAGCTAGTTGGGTTTCGGTGACTAATGACTACACAAGATCGTTGTGACTAACGTGTATTTTGTAGAGGCACTTTTACTTAGATCACGATAATGGTGATTGTTTGGGCAATCGATGGTTTTCATGCCCCTATTGATTTTTCTCGGTTTTCAAAGCATGGATGACAAGGTTAAGGATGGACTAGTTCTAAGTGTCAATTGGAGTTGTGAGACACTTAGAGTAGTTTAGGACATTATTTTTTCCATTGCCCATACTTAATGGAGGGTCAAATGGGGCATTAGACCCTGGCTCAAGGAGCCATCGGACCAAAGGCTGTGGTCCGATGCATGCTGTCAAAGCGCAACTAGGGTTTGAGGGCATCTGACCCTGGCCCAAACGTCCATCGAGGGATTGGTCTACAAGGCATCGGACCAAGCTACAGAGGGTGCATCGCACCATTGGCTCTCGGTCTGATAGAACTCAGAGAACTTCCAAAGAGGAATTGAGCACATTAGGCTGGTCCGGTGGGGGTCCATCGAACCGTACACTACAATGAATCATGCAGTCACGAGTGGGCAGTGTCTTGGCGGCCAAGTGGTGTAGAGGAGAAGGGGGTGTGGGCTGGTTAAGTGGGCTAGGTTCCCAAGCTCCTCTTCTTTGTTTACCCCTCATCTTATTTCTATTACCTAAAACTTGCATACGTGTGTGTACACAAACACACACACTAGGAGAAGAAGAATAAACACTAGCACAATATAGCATGGTTGAACATATGGAAATATGACAAGAGAATAAAGAAATTTACATTTATAAAAGTTTTATTTGCTACGATAAATGAATCAATTGCTCGAACTAGGACCTGTGGAAGCCATTGAATCGGCATTGATGTGCTGACCAAATTGGTACCGTGAAGCGGAAGCTATCTCCATAAGTGGTTGGGGCACCGACCCTTGAGTTGTTTGCCTTGCTTTAACTAGTATCTTGTTCAACTTCTCTTTGACTACACCGTCCACTACTTCCAGCCAATTTTGGAGCTCTTGCAGCTCAACTAGACCCAATTCCAAGACATTAGCATTCAACTACTATATCATGCCCTCGCCCATTTCCTTCTCAATAGCCTCTTGCAACCTTCTATTTTTCTTATTTTTATAGTATAGAGACTATTGTAGCTCTGAGTACTCCTTGTTCAGCCTATGGACAGTATCTGTTACTGCCCCTTCCCCTGATACTCCATGTTCAGCCTATGGACAGTATCCGTTACGCGCGTGCATAAATGGCAGCCCATCCTTTCTCTAGCTGAAAGCATCAAGGCCCTAGTTGGGTTTTGGTGATTAATGAGAACACAAAATCTTTGTGACTAATGTGTGTTATGTAGAGGCAATTTGACTTAGGTCACAATAATGGTGATTGTTTAGGCAATCGAAGATTTTCATGCCCCTATTTATTTTTCGGTTTGCAAAGGACGGATGACAAAGTTAATGAAGGACTAGTTCTAAGTATCAATTGGAGTTGGATACACTTAGAGTAGTCTAGGACATTATTTTTCCATTGGCCATACTTAATGGAGGGTCAAATGGGGCATCAGGCCCTGGCTCAAGGAGCCATCGGACCAAAGGTTGTGGGTCCATGCATGTTAGGAAAGCGCAGCTAGGGTTTGAGGGCATCTGACCCTGGTGCAAAGGTCCATCGAACCATGTGCCATAGGGACTATACACCGAGGGTTTGGTCTACAAGGCATCGGACCAAGCTATAGAGGGTGCATCGGACCATTGGCTCTTGGTTTAATGGAGCTAATAGAACTTCCAGAGAGGAATTGAGCACACTGGGTTGGTCCGGTGGGGGTCCATCGGACCATACACTACAATGAATCACATAGTCGCAGGTGGGCTGTGTCCTAGTGGCCGAGTGGCAGAGAGGAGGAGAAGGGGGTGTGGACTAGTTAAGTGGGCTAGGTTCCCAAGCTCCTCTTCTTTGCTTACCCCTTGTCTTATTTCTATTACCTAAAACTTGCATATGTGTGTGTACACAAACACACACACACACACCAGAAGAAGAATAAACACTAGCACAATGTAGCGTGGTTGAACATATGGAAATATGACAAGAGAATAAATAAATTTATGTTTATAAAAGTTTTATTTGCTACGATGAATGAATCCATTGCTCGAACTAGAACCTGTGGAAGCCATTGAATCCGTATTGATGTGCTGACCAAACTGGTACCGTGAACTGGAAGCTATCTCCATAAGTGGTTGTGGCACTAACCCTTGAGTTATTTGCCTTGATTCAACTAGTATCTTGTTCACCTTCTTTTTGACTACCCCATCCACTGCTTCCAGCCACTTTTGCAGCTCTTCCTGCTCAACTAAACCCAATTCCAAGACAATAGAATTTAACCACTACATCATGTGTTCGCCCATTTTCCTTCTCGGTCGCCTCTTGCAACCTTCTCTTTTTCTTATTTTTAGAATCTAGAGAATGTAGTAGCTTTGAGTACTCCCTGTTCGGCCTATGAATAGTATCTATTACTGCCCCTAGTACTCCATGGTTAGCCGATGGACCGTATCCTTTACGTGCTTGCACAAATGGTAGCACATCCTTTCTTGCCTTGGATAGCTGAAAGCATCAAGGCCCCTAGTTGGGTTTTGGTGATTAATGACTACACAAGATCTTTATGACTAATGTGTGTTTTGTAGAGGCAATTTGACTTAGGTCACAATAATGGTGATTGTTTGGGCAATCGATGGTTTTCATGCGCCTATTGATTTTTTTTATTTTAAAGGATGGATGATAAGGTTAAGGACGGACTAGTTCTAAGTGTCAATTGGTGTTGGTAGATACTTAGAGTAGTTTAGGACATTATTTTTTTCATTGGCCATACTTAATGAAGCATTCAATAGGGCATCAAACCCTAGCTCATGGAGTCATCGGACCTAAGGTTGCGGTCCTATGCATGCTAGCAAAGCGCAGGTAGGATTTGAGGGCATTTGACCCTGGGCCAAAGGTCCATCGGACCGTGTGCTGCAGGGACTATACACCAAGGTATTGGTCTACAAGGCATCAAACCAAGCTATAGAGGTTGCATCAGACCATTGGCTCTCGGTCTGATGGAACTTAGAGAACTTCCAAAGAGGAATTGAGCACATTAGGTTGGTCCGGTGGGGGTCTATCGGACCATACACTACAATGAATCGCATAGTCACGGGTGGGCTATGTCCTGGTGGCCGAGTGGCAAAGAGGAGGAGAAGGGGTGTGGATTGGTTAAGTAGGCTAGGTTTCCAAGCTCCTCTTCTTTGCTTACCCCTCGTCTTATTTCTATTACCTAAAACTTGCATACGTGTGTGTACACAAACACACACACCAGAAGAAAAAGAATAAACACTAGCACAATATAGCGTGGTAGAACATATGGAAATATGACAAGAGAATAAAAAATTTTACATTTATAAAAGTTTTATTTGCTACGGTCAATGAATCCATTGCTCGAACTAGGACCTGTGGAAGGCATTGTGAAAGGACCTAGGATGCCGCCTAGAGGGGGGTGAATAGGCGTTTTGAAAATTAACACCTTTAAAAATGGAAACAATTAGTAAAGGGAGTTTCCAAAATGGAAACTCCAAATAAAGAGTAGTACCACCCCTCACAAGTTAGCCACAGAGTATATAAAAGATACTAAATGAATCTAGGAGCCAAACGCCTGAAACCAAAGAGTTAGAACACAATACAATTCAGTTTGGCGCAGGGGCTAATACCGGACGTGTTCGGTAGGAATACCGGACGGGTCCGGTATTCACGACTTCAGTGGAACAGCCCCGGACTTACTCCTTTTGATTTCTATCTTCAATCCAAACTGCAGGAAACTATTAGAGATAGTAATATACACAGAGAACCTGCAGAATAGCTAGAGCAACACAAATATCAAATAAAATGCGAATTGAGACACGATATTTGTTTTACCAAAGTTCAGACTCGTTCGAGTCCTACTCTCCATTGAGGGGGCTGCGGGCGACCCAGCGAAGGTCAGCCCTAGAGGGTACCACGAAGGTCACTCTAGCCGGAGTCTTTTCCGACTCCTTTTCCTCCTTCCACTAAATGATTCCGAGGCGGCAGAATCGACCGTTACAAACTTTCCAAAACAACCACAATCTCTCGGTTGCTCTCCGGCGATGCCTAGCCGTCTAGGACCGAAGAGTCCAAGAGTAACAAATGCAAATCACGAGATTGACAATATGCACAAGTGCTCAAGTGGTGGCTTGCTCTCTTTTTCAAATTCTCTCTTAACCCACAAATTGATTTTGCAATTTGGATCACACACTCACTAAGAGAGGGTTGGGAGAGTTGGCAAGGCTCAAAAACATGTGTCTATCTCAACAGAATCAGCAGCCTCCAAAGGTGGAGGCTTGGGGGTATTTATAGCCCCCTTGGAAAAACTAGCCGTTGTATAGCCGTTGCAATACCGGACACATATGTTGTGAGGCGTCGGAACTCCCGATGAAAGCCGGGACTTCCGACCGTCGGAACTCCCGACTCACGTCGGAACTCCCGACCCTCAGCAAATTTGAAAACCATGTAACTGAGTTAAAGTTAGTGAGGTGTCGGAACTCCCGATGCATGCCAGAACTCCCAACCATCGGAACTCCCGACCTACGTCGGAACTCCCGACCCTCAAGACTTTTGAAAACTAGCCGTTGGCCTCTGGTCGTCCATACCGGACTACCGGACACGTTCGGTATGACCACCACAGTGAACACTCTAAATTATTTAAATTGCGAGTCATCGGAACTCCCGACATGCGTCGGAACTCCC